ACGGTGCTCTCTGAGCTCTGACCTCTCCCTACTGTTACCACCAGAGCTCTGGGGATGGTTTTACTTCCTTCCTTCCATTTATTTTCAACAAATGTTGAAAAACAAAAAAACCAGAAAGTTGGATGCTTTAAAATGCCGCTGGCTGAGAAAATCCGCCGTCTTGCCCCCTCCCCCAGGGAGCGATGAGGCACGGGCATACCTGCCTTGGGGAGGCACAGGGGGACGCAACCACGGCCTGGGGCCTGAACCCGGCCAACTGCCTTCCTCTGTCGGCTGTTCTTGCCCCAGAGATGTTCGACGGAGGGCAAAGAACCTGGGATTACCCCCGAGAGATAAAAGTCTGTTTGGCCCTCATCCGGGGGCCATTCTGCTTCTGACAGGATGCTCGGCAACGTCTGAAGACGTTTCTGTTTGTCATGACTGGGGGCTGCTGCCGGCATTGTGTGGGCAGGGGCCAGGGTGCCTCTGAATCAATGCACAGGACACCCCCCAACACACAGCTGTCTGAACCAAAATGTGCCCAGAGCCTGCTCTGAAGAAAGCCAGACACGTTTCCGCATCACCTCTCTCCCTCTCTTTTTCTCTCTATGTATCCTTAAGCAGCAGCTTGGTGTCAGCTAATGCTTGGCACCTGAGTGTTGGTAGGAGGGCAGAAAGGTCACACTCAGGTCATGATCACGTGTCTGTAAGGACAGCACGACTGGGCAGCTGCTGCAGAGAATTCTGAACGTGGGTCCCAAACAAAGAGGCATGAAGAGTACGGAGAGAATGCTGGGGAAGCCAGGAAAGGGGTAGTGACAGTCTATGAGGGAGCTCACAGCCCATGGACTGAATTCAGTGTTTATCTACCTGGACTCCCAGCAAAACAAGAAAAATGTACTCATAAAGGAAACTTTTTTAGGAAAAAATAAAACACTTTAGTTGACAACTAAGTATTATGAGGGGAAAATAATTCCCAATCCACTAAATTAAAGTTTAAAAAAATTTTGAAGAGGAATAAGAAATCTAAGTGATACGAAACTTAATAAAGAGCAAAATATTAAACAGGGACTACTTAAAAGTCCTGGAAAAATCTTGGGAAGAATTTGATTCCCCTAAAATTTTCAGAGAAATGTGTCTGCTTATTTTATCTAAAAATTTCAGCTACCCCAAAATACACGAATACATTCCTGTAGAAGTCTGGAAACAGTACCCATGAGTCCTCTGGGGGCGCCTATCGGCCCCTCCCCAGAGGAAGCCACTATGACTGTGAGTTTTTCTAGTCCTTCTTTTATGAACATACACACAAGTAGCTAAATATAATTATATGCACTCAAAGAGAATCCTGTGCTGCCTTACGTGTGCTTATTCCTATCAAACATACCGTAAGCATTTACCTGCAACTGGTTTATTAGGTTGCAGCTCAGCTTCCCGAAGTTTGCATATACCCCCACTTAACAGACAAGTCCCATGAATGACACTGCTTTGCTGTCATAATGAAGGGACCACAGGCCCCCTGTGTCAGTGCGTCTCCAGTGGAGGAACCGAGGGGAGAAGTGCCAGGTCAGAGGAGAAAGAGCACTTGAGATTTTGACAATTTAAGAGGGAGCCAAACTGCCCTCTGAGACGGCTGAAAATTTACACTGCAACCCTGACGCGGGGAGTCCTCACACCCTTGCCAGCACGTGCAGACCGCCACAGACTGTGTGTGCGCGTGCTGGGGGGGAGGGGGGGATGGTGGAAACTTAGTTTGGAAATGGAAGACCAATTATGGAGAAGGAAACTGACACTGGGTGAGGGCACGCCACGGCCCAAGTGTTCAACCAGGTGCTTTACCATCATACACGGAAGACATGTAAAAGCCAGGTTTTCACACCACAGCTGAATTCCTGACCTTCCACTATGGGCAGCTGGCTTAAATTCAGAGCATCTGTGACAGTCGTTTTCTTCAGTACTAAGAAGTACGCAGGGAAGTTGAGACAGGAGTTTCTGGTACCAAGAAAATATTAATACTAAAGCACGCCCCCTAGTGGGAACAAAAATTACAAACATGCAAGATGCTGTATAGCCCGTTCACATATTGAGGGAAAACTGAATTGTGCAGACTCAAAGTATTTGAGGATGGCATGCAGGTGTGTGGTTTATAATTCACTCTTCAACTCTCTGTGGAGAGCGAAAAAACAGAAAAGCATTCATCAATGGGCTCTGCCCAGATTACTAGGATCACTGGAGCCAGAGGCTGAAAATTTAGATCACGAAATAGTTTAAAAGCAAAATAACTTAATGCAAATATGTTAACCCAGAAATGTTCAAAAACATATTTAAATTAGTGCTTTTAAAATTTACCCTCTCAAGGTCGCTCACTGGCTAAATGTGGGCTAATTTGAGAATAAAATTGTTCCAAATGATTGTAACACATTGACTAAATAAAAAATCCAGGAATCTATGGGAGGAGAGGGGAAGGAGAGAGGGGGAGAGAGCGAGGGAGAGAGGAGGAGAGGAGAGAGAGGCGAGGGTGGGGGAGGAGAAGAGAGAGAGGAAGAGGGGGAGGAAGAGGGGGAAGGAGGGCAAAGCTCTTGTTTGCAGAACTCTGAGGGAATACCCGCAGTAGAAAACCACCATTTTGCAATTCTCACATCATGATTTAGGCAAGAAGAGCCAATAGGTGCTAAAACAAACATAAGGATAAAGGTTACTGGGGAACAGGGTGTACCCAGGATGCCCCAGTTTGACCCCATGGATTTCCTGTTAACTTCAGAGGGAAAACTGTCCCTTACAGCAAGTCACCATCTTAGCCAATGACCACACTCTGCCTCACTAACAGTGGGACACGGAACCCCACGGTCTCTGGACGAGATGCAACGTGACGCACACAGCACCTGAGAGTAAGCGCGCCAGCCAAAACCAGCAACCTGATCTAACCAAACCCGGGCCTAACTTCCAGTTTACAGACAATACACAGACAAAGAAACAGTAAGACAAATGCAGAACGTTAGACAATTTACAGGACAACCAGCCCGGACTCTTCAAAAAGTCAGTCTTGTGAAAAAGGGAAAAAAAGATGAGAAATGAGGAACGGTTCTTTACTAAAAGAAACTACAGAGACATAATAACTAAACACAGTGCCTGAATCTTGTCTGGATCATGATTTAAAAATGAATAAACACGAACCTATAAAGTTACTCTTGTGAGAATTGAGAAATTTGAATATTGATTGAATGTTAGATATTATGAAATCATTTTTATTTGTTGGGTGTAATGTTGTACCTGTGGTAATGCAGAGAAATGTCCTTATTCTTAAAAGATGTATGATTAAGTATTTAGGTCATGTTATCTGCGATATTCTTTCAAATCAATTTTACAGTGTGAAACTGACAAGCAGATTTTTCTTTTTTTTTTTTTAAACAAAGTCATTACAGTATTCTGACTGTAAACCTTACAGCTCATGTTGACCTAAGGTAAGATTAGGATGAATTCCTGAATCTTCTACGCAGACACTGGACAAGTTCAGAACACCTTAAAACCAAATACCCAGCTTCACCTACTCTAAGAAGCCCATTTTAAAGTTAATATAAATGTTTCTAGAAACCCAAATATCAGATACTCAAAGTCTTGATATCAACTCCACGTAACGGGCGATGAGTGTACAAGGTGAAGGTGTAGACACGGACCCCAGTGTTGACAACAAGACAATTTCCTCTGTGCTCGTGACTTGCCCTGTGACGCGCAGTGGGAAATGTTCACTGAGTGATCAGTGGCGGGTGCAAACAGTCCGAGAATCACTCAGCAATTTCCAAATAACTTGATTTTTAAAATCTGTAGTATAATTTTTTTTTTATCTGACAAAGCTTTTTAAGTTAAATAAAATCCCTGTCAGTGCCTTCATCTGACGGGGCTGCACATCGCCCCCTCTGATAACTCCCCTTGTACTGACGGAGGTTAGGTGAGCTGTGGTCTCAATAAAGGGAATTTCTCTTGTATACGATCCTCTCCCAGCTTCTAATGAATTAACAATAATTAATATGAAACTTTTTCTAGTCTTTTCGGTACTTCTGAGATGTTTATGCATCCAACATTTCTATTACTGGATTTACCAGAGCACAATATCAACTTAGGCCAAACGTGATGCTTTAGGTGAGACGCAAAAAGGTGCAGCACGGTGGTTATGGGGGCTCTTTGCCAAGCTGCCTGGCCGCATGCTCTGGAAGTTAACATTTAAACATCTCCATGTGCTTCAGTTTCCCTGGGTATCAAATGCGCACGATGATGATGATGATGATGGTAACTACAGTTCTCAAATGGAGCTAATGTTCATTAGAAGGCTGCTGTCACAGAGCAGCACTATGTTAGCATTTTTATTAATAAAATGAACACTGTGAATGCCTTGACAGGCAGGCATGCGATAAATTCATCTCACTAAATGGAGGGACAAAGAAGAGGAGAGCCTGGGCGAGCACCTGTCAGGGCTGGCAGTGACCCCAAACACCTACCAAGCACCTACCTGTTGTTGCCTCTCCCAGGTGCCCTCAGAGCCAGTGCTGTGAACTGCAGTTCCCACAGTGGCCACTGGGGGCGTCTCTGGGGGGAGCACAGCTAACCGGCTGCCAGTCTCAGCGCTCGGGTGGCTCCCCCAACAGTGCCAATCGGTGCCCTCCAGTTCAGACAGGCAGTATGAGCAGGGCACAAGCTGACCCTCCTTGCCTGCAGGAAGCCAATGGCAGTGCCTGGGAAGCAGGACTTTGACTGGCAGAGGCAATGACCAATCAAAACAGAGGTCGGCAACAGCCTGGAACACGGTCCTGGCTGCGGTGGTGACTGAGGGGGAGACCCTGGGGTGGTGACTGGGTAACTCGTGGTATGGCCGCACTAATGCATACCCACCCACGTTTAGCTGAGTACCAGCTCTGATGAGGTTAACAGCCATGGGACACCTGTCAACTCTGAACAGACTGACAGCCTGTGCCTGCAGAATCTGAGCGCTCAAATGTGTGCTTCAAGTACAGACAGTACCAGCTACTTACCTTGGGCGGCATATCTACAGGACCCGTCCTCCACCAGCACATTATAGAAAGGCTGATGATGGCCGTGAGGCAGGCTGTGGACGTTCATGTTTCGAATCCACTCATGTCCCATCATGCAGGTGGGGTCCCAGCCATAGATGACACAGTTATAGCCATACCTAATTAACATAAGAGCAGTGGCAGATCAGCTCCCTGGGGCCCTGTCATGGCAGCTATGAAATATAGAGACAATGGCTTGGCTTCTCTGAAACTTACATTCTTAGAGGTACACCTGCTTTTACTCCATGCTAAATCAATTTTACTCCTGCCCCTCTTTATAAACCCCTCTGATTATCCATCTATCCATCCATCCATCCATCCATCCATCCATGGTAGGACAATTGAGGAAACACAAACTCTCACCAGATACCTGATGAGGTTAACGAACTGATGATTTTCTTAGATATGACAACAGAATGGTAAAGGTGTCTTTCTTAAAAAGTGAGCCCTTACCGTTCAGTGTTACCTACAGAAATAGCTACAGAGGAAAAGGACCTCTGGTATTTGCTCCAGGGAGGAGGGGGAGGGGGTGAAACAAACTGTATGATAACTGTTGAAGCTGGACATGGGAACATCACCTGGTTCGTAATACTCCTCTCTCTACTCTTACATATGCTTGAAATTTCCACAACAAAGTTAAAAAAAAAAAAAAGAATGTAATAAAAGAATGGAAAACACTAGCCAAAAACTGAGAAAAGATATTTGCAACTTATCTGCATATAGAGACTAATACACAGAATAAAGAAACTGCAAATCAGTAAGACTAACAACTCAAATGAAAAGCAAAATACCTGAAGAGGCACTTAATCAGAGGAACCTGAATGGCTAGTAAATGCAGGGAAAGAACCTCAATCTGGGTGGTAACCAGGGAAATGCAAATTAAAACCACAATGAAATGCCATTTGCCATTTACCACATAAGTGCATTTTTAAAGGTCTGGCACTAACACAAGTTGGCGAGAATCAAACCTCTCAGGTCCTGGCCTGCTGGTGGGATGTAAATAGGTAGGTACAGCTGCTCTGGAGGCAGTTTAATTTTGCCTCATCAATCGGCCGTGTCCAAACCCCAGGACCCAGCAAGTCCCTACCACCCTCAGATCCAAGGAGAGCGAGACCACTGGAGAGAGTGAGGACGACGAAGAGAGAGGAAGAACGAGGCTGACAGGGCTTCCATCCCCCACGGAGAAGGGTCACTACACACAGTAGAAGAGCTCCCCGTCAGGAAAGCAAGTTGCTTCTTAAAAAACAAAAAGGTTAAAGATATGGTTCGGCCTTCGGTCCTCGCTGCGATGGGCCTCGGTCGCTGCTGCATCGGGTCAGGTCCCCTCCAGGTGCACCCCCGCTGCTCCGAGAAGCGGGGCTCACGGCGCTGTGTCCTCTGCAGCCGCGCCGGGGGCGGGCGCCGGGGCACTCACCTCTTATGCTTCATAATGAGCCCAATGGCATAGCAGACGTCTCTGTGCTTCTCGTGGGAGCGGAGCTTCACCTCCACGCCCACCTCCTCCTTCTTCCGCTCAATGTGCTCCAGCGTGTGCTGCACCAGATAGCCCACCGCCCCGTGCTGCCCGGGGTCTAGGGTTTGGATGTGCTGGAGGATGTCAAGCACCTTCAAGACAAGACAGAAAGACTAGGAGATAATATTTTCATTTAGGCCTTTTCTTTTTCCTGGCAAGGGATTTAGACCTATGTAACCTGAGGAAGGGCAGCGAGGCGAGGTGGGCTGACGGCCCATTACTCCACAGGCTCTCACCCCGTCGGCGCTCTGTACGCCCAGAGTCACTTTATGTGCTGGGGACTGGCCCCGGCATCCAAATGGAGCCAGCGTGAGCGGGAGGAACTCTTTGGAAACACGGGGACCGGGGTCCGCACAGGATGGGGACGCGAGGGCCTGTCGGACTAGGTGCACTCTAACAGCTTCCAACATTCTTGGTGAGTGGGGGGACTCAATTTCTTACATACGGACAGGAAACATTTTCAACCTGCCACTCATGAATTGAGAGGAAAGAGAAATGTGAAACCGCTTCAATCGAGGTCAAGAGGCTGAGTGACAGACTGGCCTCGGTGCTGCAGGAGAGGGGAAGGGGTCACAGGGAGGGCACTGGAGTGATAGACGCAAATCAGCAGTTCATTTATGATGCTATCTGTGAAGAATGAAGATGTGCGGGGCAGGGTTCTGAAATCCCACTTAAAGCTTCAGTGACTTTAACTCACAGTGGAATTCAGCGTTCAGGTGGACAGGGGGAAACCCCGTCTCCCCGCAACTAATGTGACTAGCTGGCAGAGAAGCACTGCCTGACCCCAAGGCTCTGCTCTTTCTACTGCACCCAGTGCCTCTACGGAAAAACACAAGCTCGAGGAAGGCTAACACACATGAACAATGAGCAAGCCCCGCTCGCTCACAGCTCGGCCGAGGGTCTGTGACACGGGTCTCCTCCCACTTACGGATGCTGAGCAGACAGAGCAGCCGGACTCTAGCCCCGGATCAGTCAAACTTGCTGTTTTTACCCTTGAATTAGTTTATTCACTTATCAAATAATGATTAGTAACTGCCCTATTTCCTGATACATTGTGAGCCTATAAAAGTGTCGTGAAAACCACAGCTTTCTGCAATGTAACATATTATTTTAAAAGCCAATCTTGTCTTCCAGAATGAGATTTGCAGGATCTCAATACTTGCTGAATACTTATTCTCTGCTGGTCACTGTGCCAAGCCTGTCACATTTTTTACTTCATTTAATCCTCCCAACTTGAAGGTCAGCAGTCCAATCACTGCCAATTTCAAGAGGAATCAGACGCAAACAGAGCCGCTCTCCAGGCCAACCTATATAACCGCATCAGGACATTGGATTTACATCAACAGCATGATTCCTATTCAACCTAAACACATGAGACCTGCAACAAATTTGTATACCCGACTTAAATCACTCAAATCTCCCCCTTGAAAGACTCGTACTAGCTGCAGCCGGAAAATCTGCTCATTCTGGACTTCACCCTGACCCCCCCTCAGCAATAGAAGGCCCTGCTCCTGTCTCAGCCTTACTCCACTCAAGCACAGTAGTCGTGGCAGGTATCTTCTTGCTTATTCGATTTTACCCTTTAACAGAAAACAATCAACTTACTCAAACAGTAGCACTATGCTTAGGAGCCCTTACCACCCTATTCACAGCAACATGTGCCCTCACCCGAAACGACATTAAAAAAATTGTCGCCTTCTCCACTTCCAGACAATTAGGCCTAATAATGGTAACAATTGGCATCAACCGACCCTATAGAGCATTCTTGCACATGTTCACACATGCTTTTTTAAGGCCATACTAGTCATATGCTCCAGATCTATTATTCACAGCCTGAACAACGAACAAGATATTCGAAAAATAGGAGGCCTATTCAAAGCTATACCTTTCACCACAACAGCCCTTATTATTGGAAGTTTAGCACTGACAGGAATGCCTTTCCTCACTGGCTCCTAAAGGCCTGATCACTGAAGCTGCTAACAAATCTTATACCACTGCCTGAGCCCTGCTAATAACTCCAGTCGCCACCTCCCTCCCAGCCGTCCCAAGTGCTCGCATCCCCTTCTGCGCACTGCTAGGACCCCCTCACTTCTCTCCCTTAACCTCGATCAATGAAAACAGCCCACTCCTAATTAACTCCATCAAACTTCCTACTAAGTGTGTTTTTGCTGGATTTATTATCTCCAACAACATCCCCCCAACAATGGTCCCCCTAATAACCATGCCCCCATACCTAAAATTAACTGCCTTTACAGTGACCATCCTGGGCTTTGTACTAGCACTTGCAATTAACCTTAACGCACAAGACTTAAACTTTATTTACCCCTCAAATATCCTCACGTTTTCTAGGCTTTTAGGGTACTTCCCCACTATCATGCACCGTTTACCTCCCTACCTAAACCTGTCGTAAGCCAAAAATCAGCATCCTCCCTCTTAGACTTAATCTGACTAGAAAATATTTTACTGAAAACCACATCCCTTATTCAATTAAAGCCCTCCACACTAGTTAAGCAACTTGCCTGAGGTCATGGGGTTATGAAGACGTGCAGTGAGGATGTGGACCCAGGGCTGACTCGCAACCCCAGGTCTCAGTCACCTTCACATCAAAGCAGGAAGAGGAGTATTTTAATTGACTGTTAGGAAAATTTTCAAACACATAAAAAATGGACAGAGTGGTATAACCCCAAGTAGCAGACCCAGCTTCAACCAGTACCAGCCAGGAGCCAATCCCATCCACTTGCCACCCCCCGCAGTGGCCTTGTAATGTAGGGGACACTAACAACAGTTGTCCCTTGTAGCTAAAAGCACCTGATTTCACAGTAAGCTTCTTGTGTTCCCCTCTGCAGTTCCAACTAGTTACTGCTGACAACTTTTCTATAGACACAGCTTCCCCTTTGTTCCTGGCAGCCCCTTCCCACCAGATAAGTGAAAGAAACATAACGTGGAATCTTCAAAGCATAAAGGAAGTCTTGAACTCAGAGTATCAGAGGAGGAGATAAGGTTCAGGGATGACTACTCCCGTCTTTCCCTTGGTGTGTGGATGATAGGGTGAAGGGAGACGGCAGAAACGGAGAAGACACCATGAGATGTGCCCAGTGTGTTTCCAAAAGCCGTGCTGATAGTGGGGCACCATGACGTCTACAGCTAAATGCCTAGGCCTAGAATCCCAAGAGCCCACAACCTTCAGAGTAGAGATCTTGGAACAGGGGCGACTACTGCACATGACTGGCAACTTGCTCTGTAAAGGGCCCGAAAGTAAATATTTTAGGCTTTGTGGGCCGGACGGTCTCTGACTCAACTACTCCCCTCTGCCGCTGTGGCTGAAAAGCAGCCAGAGACAGTCCGCAGACAAATGGACACAGCCGTGTGCTGACAAAACGTATTCACAAAGCCAGGCGGCTCTGGGCCCAGGGGCCAGAGTCTGCGGACCCTGCTCTGTCCTCTTAACTGCAGGTTTCCCCCGACATCTCTCTGAAGCTCTTGGCTCCAACCTCTGGACGTCCACTTCTGTGGGCTCTTCTACTTTTGGGACTTCAGCTACTAGATGCTGATGCCAAGAGCGCCCACCAAGCGCGGTACTCCATGGCTCCAGGTCATGCCAATCAAACTCAGCATATCCCAGACGGAACACTGTCTCCTACCCTGAAACAGGTCAGTTCCCCACACACTTCAACTTTTAAAGTGGCCTCCCTTATTGGAAAATTGGGATATTCTCTTCGAGCCTCCTTCCTTGTTCACAGCTAACGAATTTCTGTCATTTCTTAATCATTCATTCAAATAAAATGTTGTACCTACTGGGTGGCAGGAATTGTGTTGAGAGCAAGGGGAATAGCTACAGTAAAGAACAAGACATGGTCCCTGACCTTAAAGAGTACGGTCTCGTGCGGAAGGATGGTTAAGCAGCTGCAAGACACTCCGCACAAGCTTTGCGGAAGGGTGAGCTCAGGGCCGTCATGGTGCAGAGGGGCAGGGAGGGGTTTCAGAGGCAGGAGATCAGAGATTCGGGAGCCGCTGACCTATAGATGGTAACTGAGGTAAGGAGAGCTGGTGAGATCACTGAGGGGAATTGTGCACAGTAGAAAGAAGTCTAGAAACTACCCCACAGTGTAGAGCCTTAAAGGGAGAGACAAAGGACAGCAACTAGCGAGAGCCTGGGAAGAGGGGACCAGAATCAAAGGAACAGTGTTTTGAGTGGGGGGATGACCTCCAAGTGATCAAGAAAGATGAGGAAAGACAAGTGTCTACTGGATTTGGCAACAGAGAAAGGTTTAGCAAGAAGGCGTCATGGGCTTCCAGTTCACGTGGGGGAGGGCTGGGAATGGAGCCCCATGCTCTGCGCAGCGCGGGGGAGGCGAGGGGGAGGCCATCACAAGGACCCTGGCCAGGCTGGGAGAGAGGGGTAAGGTGGAGCCGTGGGCAAAGCCGGGGGCTGTCGTCGGAGGCTTCTCCTTCTCTTTTTTCAAAGATGAGGGAGACCTGAGTATGTTTAATGCTGACAGTAGAAGTAGAAACAGGGAGCTGCAGATACAGAAGAAGAAATAAAGGAAAACTTAGTAGTCCAAGGACAGGCAGCAGGTTGGATCCAGAGCACACGGAGTTTTGCCTTGGAAGACTGAGGGACATCTTTTCCACTGAATGTGGAAAATGGAGGGAAGGGATAACTACGGATCGGAACAAGGATGTAGGTTTAGCAGCAGGAGTAGAAAGTGCCCTTCTGTTGGCTTCTTCAGAAACAATCTCGCCTTGGCCCTGGTCCACAGGGGTGAAGCGTGTGGGTGGGCTGTGAATCTGAACGCCTGATGCCATCAACTTCTGTGCGGGAGACCTTGGCAAACTACTTAACTTTTCTCGGTGCCTCGGTTTCATTGTTTGTAAAAGGGCAAAAAACAAAACAAAAGTAGCCACCCCAAAGGGCTGGCAGAAGGTACTGGAGGTGTGCAGCACTGAGCTCTCCCAGCCGTCCCCACCACTGGAGGAACCTACTTCCCTGTGCTCTGAAATCGTTCCCCGGCCTTCTAGGGCCACCTCAAACCCTTTCTCCGGAAAGGACCCTTTTCTAACTGCTTCCGCATCCCCTGGAGCCTTCCTCGCTTTGGGCCCCAGCTCTCCTCCACTGTCATGGGGTCCTTCCTGCAGTTACAGCACAGTTCATGGAGGCGAGACAGTTGCCACACGTGGGGAAGGAGCCACTTTCCCTTCCTGAGCTTAGATGCAGGGAGTGTCTAGGTGCCTGACCCCAGCAGCCCATGAATGGTCATCGTGGGGAAAAATGTTCTGCGTGTGACAATTTTGGAACTTGTTCCAGTGACATCTGCTTGGAAGGAAGGCAATCCTGACCATCTGAGGAGGATACCAAGGAAATTCCCCCAGAGGTAGCACAGGAGCCCTAAACTGAGCCTGTCATCAAAGGGAAGGATGCCAGGGCTTCTACAGACGTTCCTCCCAAAGGCGATGTCAACCCTACTCCTTCTAAGGCTGATGTGTAATTTAAGTACAGAATCTACTTATGAGGAACCATGCATTTTACAAATTATCATGAAATTCCTGAACTAATGTACAGTAAAAAGTGAAAGGAATTAGTTATGTATGTCCTGGTATCAAAAATAAATCAAGTAAAAAATAAAAGTAAACTATTCAATTCTGGACAAGGTTGTGGGAAGCAGGTGGTGACCTTGGTAGAGAGCCTAGTGTTCCAGTAACTCTTCTATCGCATCACATGGGTGTCCTGGGAGGACAGCCACTGCCTGGGCTGTAGATGACATCTGAAGACAGGGGCTCAGGGATTTTCCTACTGACGCATCCTTTCCTAGAACTACGGTAGATCTTTGACACTGTGAATAAATGAGGCAATGTAAATCTAAGCAACGGTGAGTCACTGAGGTTATTTACTTTCTCAAGGAAGATTTTACCACTCTCTAGTGACAGGGCTGATGATTTTATGGTGATGTTCCTGTGAGAGCTTAGAATTCAAGTCTATGACCCGGCTGTCTAAACAAAGTGGACTATTAACATATTCCCATGGCCAAGCAGGGGCATGATGGGGACGAGCAGCTGCTCCTGCACTGTGCTGCATGGCTGGAAGCATACATGTGCTGCACCCGCAGCTCCTTACCCCAAACATGGTGGCCTCTGACAGGGCTTCCTGCTGGCCAAAGGGGGCGTCACAAACCTGAGAGAGCCAAGTGGAACAGTAAAACCCAACAGTTTCCAAAGGCATAAGCAGTCCTAAAAGCATCCAGCAGCTGGACCTGAACACATCTGAGACCTCACTTTCCCACGCCACGCAGGGCTACTTACATGTGGTCAATTTAGTTGCTAACAGCACAGCTGGAGGATGAATATGGAAACTTCTGCTTCCCCTTGAGAAGGGTGGCTTTGGGAAAATACATCTTTGGGGCACCAGTGGGTGAGAGGTAGGGCCGAGGCCTTGTGGTTCTGGGAGTTTAAGGCACTGATCACAGAGAGAATGGGCAATTCCTGGCAGGATAACTAATTTTTAGTAGAATAAAAGGAGACAAAAAGTTAAATCGATGGGTCAACACCAGGAGACTGTGAATAAATCTGTGTTTATCCTCCAGGTTAATACAAGGATAAACTTGTAAGCGCTGCCTCTCAGCTAGGATTTCCCTCTCTAAGGCAGGTGCAAAGCATCAAAGTAAAATAATTACCTTCTCTGGCCAGATGCCCAGGTGGAAGTAGAGCCTGGCTTGGAGAAGGAGGAGCTGCACCTGGTCCGGGTACATCGCCAGGTACAGATCCAGGGAGTCCCTCAGGAGCTGGTACGACTGGTCGATGCCTTCCCTGTGGGGAAAGAAATCTGTGTTTTATCCTGTTTGCTTCTGAGCTAAGACCCTCTTTATCAAGGCCCAGATCTTAAAAGTAATGGACACAAATCCCACACGTTCTCTGATTCTGATACTTCCTCTCTTCAGCAAAGTTACAACACTCTTAACAAAAAAAGATACACAAGAAATAGAAATTTCGTACTCCACTAAGTTAAAATCGTAACCGTTTTCCTTACAGAGCCACCTTGATAACACTGTACATAAATTAAAAATGGACTCTGAATAGGTGGAGGACTATTAGGTCAGTGAAACTCTTCTAGATGACACTACAGCGGTGGGTACACATCATTACCTGCTCGTCAAAATCCACAGAATGTACACCATCAACAGCAAACCCAATGTAAACTATGGACTTGGAGTGCTAATGACGTGCCAAGGTAGGTTCATCAACTGTAACAAACACCCTGCTCCCAGGAGGGGGGTTGTTGAAATGAGGGAGGCCGTGTGTGTCCAGAGGCAGGGGGTAAACGGGAACTCTCTGTACTTGCTGCTCAGTTTTGCTGTGAACCTAAAACTGTTCTTAAAAAAATAAAGTTTATTTAAAAAGAAATTCTGCCATTAGGCAGAAAACTAATACTCCAATCTATAAATTTCTATTTTCCCTGTAAGACAATTTTCCTTGGACTCAGAAGCAAGACTGTTTCATACTTCTGTTTGTCCTCTTACCTAAGTGATAGAAAGGTATAAATTCCAAGACAGCAAAGCACTAGGAGGTGAAAAATAATTGTTGCCAGTCTAAAATATTCTTGTTACTGGAGAATGCTTTCAGCATTTATAAAAGAGAACTCGCCCAAGTCCACTGCAAAGATCTCAAAGAAAAGTCACTCAGCACATCCTAAGTCTGGATAGCATTACATCAAGGGAACTAGTTTTTTCCCATGGTGGGTAGATAGCTGCAGCTGTCCCAACTGTGCCACAAAGCATCCGCTGCTTCTCTGTATCACAGGTAGGCTCATTAAATAAAATTCTTTGTAAGTAATTTGCACCTCCAAAGACGCACACGCCGCGGAAGTACTGGAAAACCAAGAAAACCTTACCGCTTTCCCAGGCTTAAAAGGTTTCCCACCATTCGCTGTAACACCTTCTTTACGTTCACCACCCCATACAGCGCTGCAGTGACATGCTGGCCGATCAGGTATTCACATTCTTTCACTGTCAGCTGCTTGCCTTTCCCAAAGGCATCTATGTAGATGTAGTCAAAGATGTCCAGGGTTGCCCTATCCAAAGAGCACACGTAGTGAGTCGTATCTCAGATCAGAGCTGAACAAGTCAATATTTAAAACCCCATAATAAGTAGCTCAAATCAGAGAATGAGTGTTAACACAGTGGCATTTCTACTGAAAATATCAAGGCCTTGCCCAAAGTCTGAAATCTGACCTCTATACACACTCTGCTGTATTAAGATTGCAGTACACTGATACTTGAGAAATAGCACTGGTTTATGCCATTTAATATAGTTTTTTAGAGAGATTAACTCTAAAACTCACTGCCAGGCCTATCTATCAGAAGTCTGGTTGAGAGAAATGTTTCTGGAATGCCTGAGCCAGTCTATTAATTTCAGAGAGTAGCAGCAGTTAACGTCTGCGGATCCCAGGCCCCTTGAGGCTGTGATGACAGTTATGGGACCTGGGGCCACAAGGATTCTGGCCTCAGCTCTGCAGATGCGCTCGGGAGGCTCAGGCTGGGACCCTGCTCCAGACCCCGGAGAGCTGCGTCCCTGGCCTCCACCTCCCACTCCTCCCATGGAACCGCCCTCCACGACCCGAGCTCTCGCACGTAGGGGTGGCCCACGCCGAGCCGGGCTGGTAGGCGGTCACATAAGCAGGTTCTCACCTCAGGACCTCTAACGATACTGCATTCACCCTACGAGGACTCCTGAGGGATTGAGGTGGGACTTTGTTTCAGGGATAGCTGTGTTTTTTTTCTTTGAGCAACTGTTTCACTTTGATAGAGACTTTCTCTTCGGCAGCTAAAAAGCCCAGTCAGATTTCTTCTCAGTCGTATTAATAGCCTGCCTTTAGCAAGACATATATAATTGTTCCAGAAATAAGGAATGCTCTTCAACCCTTTTTTTGGGTCTAGGAGAACCACACAAATGCACACAAGTTTACAGGCAAAAATCCTAAACAAAATATGAGCAAATCAAACACAGCGAATGTATAAAAATCCACATGAGTAAGTCAGATGCTCCTTAAGAATGAAAGGAGGACTGAACGCTAAAACATTTCACCACATGCAGACTAAAGGAGAAAAACCACATCCTATCTGTAGACACAGAAAAGAAATTTGGGGGAAAAAAATCCTAGTTATTAATAAAACTCTTAGCAAATTACGACTTTATTATTGTTTTTTCCTTTTTTTTTAACCGCACCATGTGGCATGCAGGCTCTTAGTTCCCCGACCAGGGATGGAACCCGTGCCCCCTGCAGTGGAAGCGTGGAGTCCTAACCACTGGACCGCCAGGGAAGTCCCAAATTACAACTTCAGAAGGCAGCTTTGATCATCTCAATGGAAGGTACTGCTCCCAAACATCATGTTTGAGATGAAATTTTAAAGTCATACCCAAGGCAGAGTGCCTGCTATCACTGTTTCTATTCACTGTGTCCAAGAGGACCCAGCCAGCAGAATAAGTAAAAGAGACACAAACATACAACAGCTGGGAAAAAAAAGAGGAAATAAAACTGTCGCAATTCAGACAATATGACGGTCTACATAGAAAAGCTGAAAGACCTAGCAAATTATTAGCACTAATAATTGATCCAGCAGAGGTGCTGATAATCAGACCCAGATCTAAGTCATCAACCATGTCCCTGTGCACCACCAATACACAGACAGCGTAATTTAAACAATTACCATTTACAATAGCAACAAAAAGTTAAGGTACCCAGGAATAAATCTAGCAATATATCAAAGAGCTGGATGTAGAAAACAATAAAATATTTTTAAGGACATTAAAGATGACTTAAACGTGCAAGGAGATGTGTTTACAGACAGACAGACTGAGCAGGGAAGCGCAAGCAGGCCATACGCCTCACGTGAATCCACGAATCCAGAGGAGCTCTGGGCCCAGCTACCATACCAGAGCTTCGAGGCGCCTGACAAACGGATTCTAAAGCTGCACATGGACACCAGGCTAAGAGGAGCCAGGGCAATTCTAAAGGACCCCGTGGGGGCCTCGCCCCACCAGTCATTAGGACTAACGATAATGCCACAGTCAACGCGACACTATGGTCTTGGTGCAGACAGAGACCACGGGCCCGAGGAGCAGTCCAGTCAGGACGCAGAGGGCCTGCAGCCCAGCAGCTGTGCGCTCTCCCGCCAACCTCCCGGCCTTTCCCCAGCGGGCCAGCCCTTTATGGGTCTCAGTGTTTGTGTCTGCCAGGTGCTTGGGGTACTACCAAACCACTTCACTGTTCATCTGCATTGTGGTGTATGCTCACTGTAGCCTAAAGAAGGAAAAACAATCCTGTTACCACACACAAATGTGCCCGGCAATAGGTCACTGTGGTAAGTAACATGGTAATTGGTGTTTTAAATGCTTTATATCACGCAGAAATCCTTGGTGGACCATTATACAAGCATTTAAGAATATTTTAGAGATATTGGGGGAAATTGGTTGGGTTATTCAGGGAGAGGGAATGAGCTGAAAAAGCACTTTTCTCATTTAAAATAATGGAAAATGGGTGCCTGCTATCCAAAAGAGAAACCATCCAATACATTTTAAGGAACAGATTATATCTGGGAAACAAGGGAAGCCTGTACTCGCTATTCAAGGAAACATACACATGTAACGAAATATTAAATTTGCATGGAAATAACAAATACTTTCAAACTAACTGGCGGTTACCTCTAGAGAGAAGAGGAGGGAAAGGGATAAGGAAGAATACCGAGGAGCCGCCAACTTACAGACAAGTTTTATTTCCTAAACCCGGAGGTGGAAATATAGAGACCAGCATGAGAAATTCCACCAGGCGTGTAAAGCACTGGGTTCTCTCATTTAACCCTCCAAACCACTTTATGAAAAACATTAGCCCCATTTTACACAGGAAGAAACTGAGGCTCAGAGGAAACCGAGGTCTAAATTCAAACTTCAAAGCTCAGCTACTTTCTATCATTCCACTCATCACTTCACCGAACAGTACCACAGCCAGTCATTAAGAAGTAGTTTGAAGTAACAGGATGTAATTAAATAACTATGTTTCTTTTCCCTCTAGATGGCACTTTTAAAGAGACCCGTCTCTCTAGACTATAGCTGAAAAGGAGCTTTATGTCCAATAGGACACCAGGTCTCAAACAAGAGAACAAAACAGAACTCATTAACCTGGTCTGCAAAATGTGCATCAGGTCACCAACCTTGCCTAAAAGGAGTGCCACTGCTGAGAACCTGAATATCTGCTTTTGCACATGGATGAAGAACTTGGGCCCAGTTCCCTCTCCCTTGCTTCTCCCTCCCTCCTTCCCTCTCTTCTGGGGGGAGATTTTTACGGAAGACTGGGAAGAAACAGTTTCTTTAAGAACTCTTTGTACTGATTTGCTTCAGAACAAAGGGACTCTGAGATTCACATAAGATCCTGAACTCTTAGTCCTGTTCTTTAAAATTAAATGTTTTCTCTGAGGTAATTGGAGATTCACATGCAGTTCTGAGAAATAAGACAAAGATCCAGAGCGCACTTCTCCCACGAGCAGATCGCGGACGTGGATACAGTCAAGAGCAAACCAGTTCCATCACCACCCTAGGCCCCCTTTTAACCTCCGTTGTTACATCTCCTCTCAGCACAGTGGAAATGAATCCTCAGGGCAATCATGATGTGTCACGGATGGCTCACCCTTCTGCACCTTGGCACCACCTTAGTAAGAAGTGACTGGGGAAGTTGACAGGCTCCAGTGGGACCCCCAACTGCCGGGCAATGGTCAGGTAGAGCAGAGACATGCTGATTGGGATTCCAGTTCTGCGGATTAAAACCTAGCAGAGAAAAGAAGGCTTTAGCTTCACAGAGATGAATCACACCTTCTCACCCCTTCCCCACACCTTCTCAGTGGCCACCTACTGTGCATCAGGTGAGAGGACAGGTTTTCAGGCTTAAGTGGATGAATATTTCATTTACTTAGATCAGGGCTCTCGGACTACAGTCCATGGGCCAAATCGGGCCCACCAACTGTTTTTGGATGGCTTGCATAAGAAGAGTTTTAATATTTCTTTACGTTTAAAAAAGTCAAAAGAATACTATTTCATGAAACATGAGAACTGTATGAAATTCATATGTCCATGCCCACATATGACATTCTACTGGAACACAGCCACATGCCTTTGTTTCTGTATGGTTTGTGCCTTCTTTCGCTTGACCATGGCAGAACCGAGTGGTTAGGACAGAGGGTACGTGGCCTGCAGAGCCAAGGAGAATCACTGTCTGGCCCTTCACAGAAAAAGTGTGCAGACCTGTGATTTAGGTCCTCCTTCTTCTAGGAAGAACGTAAGGCCATTTCAGATAACGTGTGTAAGATATGACAAAAGAAAATACAAGTCTCATAGAGAGCAACAGAACAGATACGAAAACAGAGACAAGTAGGAAGCAAATAAAAAACAAGCATCAATGACGTAGCTGGTCATGTATTTCCTCCAGTCTTCCTGGAAGCCAGTGCAAAAAGGTTAGTTTCATAGTTTAGTGTTCACAAGATGCAAACTGATCACACTGAGTCGGAGAAGTCCTATTTCTAGTCAGGAATTTACTTCAAGGGTTTTCAGAGGATGCTCTGTGATGAAGCAGGTAAAAGCCACAGCAATATCCTCACAGTAGAGGCAAAAATGAGTTTCACTGGGCACTGAGAGATGAACAAAATCTATTACTTGCCCTCAGTAACTGTACAGTTTATCAGAGATAAGCTTAGTATATATATAATTAGTATATTTTCTATCATACACATATTTACCTGGTGCATATATAAGTTTAGGGCATTATAGTAATCCATTCGGTTCCCCTTGAACTTCAGTTGGTCATAAAGGACGTAGTTCATGGCATCCAGCACCTGGCTCTGGAGTTCTATTTCCATTATCATGGAGGATTCACCTGAAATACAGAGACCTACTCTGAGGACACAAGCACAAATAACGTTGTGACCAGTGTCCCAAATAACCTTTAACATGCAGACACTGGCAATGTCCTAAGAATATACATCAGGTGTTACCAACCCAGGGTGGAAAAGACAATACGTATTTGAGGTCTTTTACATCATCCAGGTGAACATGTGGTTGTATCATCAGTCGATTTTTTGGGACATAATGGGAATGCACTGCAGAATTCCCCAAATTAATCAATTACTCTACGTTTTCTTTTGCAAATACAGCTGTATTCAAAGCAGTTCCACACCTGCCTTGAAGGCCAAGCTGGGGTGGCGGCTATTTATGCCCCGGAGGGTTTTGCAAACAAGCTCCACGATGCTGTCAATCTGGGCCTGAATGTCTCTGAGGCTGATGTCGGAGAGAGGATTGCAGTACTGGTCAATATACACTGCACCTGAAATGAACAAGAATTACTGAATAAATTCCTCCTTCCACCTTCTCTTATCAGTGGTCATTCACCCCAGACTCCTGGGGCCACAGCTCTTTACACCACTCCTCCAGATGTGGCTCCTATCGCGGATGTCAGGTCTGGCTGCTGCTAATACACTGAGAAGGAGCAACATTCTTACAACAAAGAAGATTACATTTCGTTATTATTTTTTTAATATACCAAAACTCTCTCAGAGGTCATGGACTCAGAAGAACTGTGTGATACATGCCGTATCTCCACAGTCTACTAGGAAGAGAAATAAATACCATAAAGGAGATCTTTTCAAGCTACTTCTCTGTCCCTAATTTTCTTACAGTTCAAAATCCAACAACTCTGAAAACTTATAAGACAGTTCATTGAGACTTAAAAAAAAATAGTTGAAAGCCCTCAATGTCAGATATACCATTTCAACAAATTATTCCTCTGAAAGGTGAGCTAGTAAATGGACTTTGGAGATAACTGGACTTTGAAATTAAATAGTTACACTCAGGAAACCCACAGCTAATAAGTTGTACAGAGCACACCAGAGATACTGTCTCTCAAAAATCACTACTCTTCACCACCTTAGGTTACTTTTTAACCCGAGACCCAGTGGGCTAACCTGCTCATCTGCTATAGGACGTTTTCACTCGGGAAGCTGTAGAGTCACTTTAAATTCAAGGTCTCAAACCAGCTCAGGACCTGGATCCCCTACTTACACCCCAGTGGGTATCAAGAGACCTGGACACCAGCCCCAGTTCTGCCACCAGCCAGGGAATGGCTCCTGGGTCTCCTCGGGACTCAGTTCCCCCACCTGTCGGCTGAAGGGCTTTATGCTGCACAGCTCCGCAGCCTGTTCTATCTGACTGCTGCTTCTTAGCCTTCGTCAACGGCATCAGATGGTTCTAGTTGGTCACCAAGGATCAAAACCCTGGTGCCAATTTCTATTCACTCAACTAGTTAAAAACCTTCAACAGCTACCCAATGTCCACAGCACTGATGTGAACGAGCTGCTGAAAATTATAATATTACTTAATATTTGAAAGATGAAAGAGAAGTAATTGTTTTCATAAATAAAGCTTGTCAAGTTATTCCTGACTGTGGAATAAACACAAGATGCCTCTTAACTCCGGGATGCATATGTGAAGATTCCAGGGTGGTGAGGATATTTTATTTTAATGAACTGAAGCAGATACTTCATGTCCTTCTGGATGGTATAATCAACAAGATCAATCAATAAGAATCTGCACTACACACTGTGGAGGACAAGGAACACAAGAAACACAGTGACTATTGAAGAAACAACCTGTACACACAGGAAACAGAGAGGATGGACAGGGTTTACTAGCCGCCGCTACTGCAGGTCTGAGGCAGTAAAATCTGCAAGTGTTGCAGGTATCAGGGAAACTTCATGCAAGTGAAACCTGAAATGAACTCGGAGGGTGAGTAGGATTTAGGAGGGAATCCTAAGGAAGAGGGATACCTCGAATGAGGAAGTGAAGCCAGGTGTATGTGTGTGGCGCCAGCGAGGATAGTGGCCTGGCTGGAGCAAATGGGACATTTTAGAGAGTGATGGGGAAAGGCCTGACTGAATTATGGAGGGCACTGAAAGCAGGCAGAGATTTAATTTCACAAAGGAAATCAGCTGGCCACGTCGCAGGCTCACATGGAGTGCTGAAAGGCTGGGTTTCAGACTAGGCCGGCACTGCACGCCGGCTGACTTGAGAGCAGGAGGGCGTGATGCCCATGAAAGCAAGTATTACTTAGAAAGCTGCTGCTGGGAGAGGTGGCAACAGCCTGCGTGAGACCAAGAACAGAACGGAGACACGACTATGAGAAACGCTGGAAAGGAAGAAGAATCAATGAATTGGGTAAGTCGCTGGGAGTAGGGAATGAAAGTGAAGGAAGAGTCATATCTGTATTTCATAACCATAATTTGTGGGAGTGTTTGTGTAATATGCTAGGAATTTAAAATAGTTTTTAAAAAATGAAGTCACATTTTGTTCTTGCTCAACTCAGTAGGAACAGAAAGTTCTTCCCTTCATCCTGCCTGTCCACTGGACTTCTTTCCACTCAGTTCTCATTATGGACAATGAGACTCACTGACACGCAAGAACATTTTGTCCTCATTAAACTCCAACCAGAGAGGTTAAGGGATTTGCTCGAGGTCACATGGAGACAAAACTGGACACATTTATTTCTGATTTGAAGTGAGGTTTCAAAGCTTAGAGAGACAGGGAATTAACCTCATTAGTTAAAATGTCAGCCTCATGCTTTGAACCGATGATGCATCTTTAAATTTATTTATTTATTTATTTATGGCTGCGTTGGGTCTTTGTTGCTGTGCACAGGCTTTCTCTAGTAGCGGCGAGTGGGGACTACTCTTCGTTGCGGTGTGTGGGCTTCTCATTGTGGTGGCTTCTCTTGTTGCAGAGCACGGGCTGTAGGCGCGTGGGCTTCAGTAGTTGTGGCTCACGGGCTCTAGAGCGCAGGCTCAGTAGGTGTGGTGCACGGGCTTAGCTGCTCCGCAGCATGTGGGATCTTCCCGGACCAGGGCTTGAGCCCATGTCTCCTGCACTGGCAGGCGGATTCTTAACCACTGCGCCACCAGGGAAGCCCGATGGTGCATCTTTATAAACACTGTCTCTTTAGCTGAAGCTAAAGATTCTGACCAGATCTTAGCTCTGAATTTAATCGTTCTGCCTACCTAATTGATCAGACCATACAACCCAACCTCCAGAGGCCCATGTAGCACAGTTTACTTTTCCACTGCTTTTCCATCAGGGCCACTTTCACTGCTGCTCTTAAGGACAACTCAGCTGCCTATCAAAATATCAGTGTTAAAGTCTCACCTTCAAGATATGATTCATAGTCATCAGGCTGCTGAAGAAAAGCCTTAAGATTATTTAAAATTTTCTGTTGTCGTAGGTAATAAAGAATTTTTTTGGCGTAGTATTTCCAGGTCAAAGCTTTTCTGGAAAAAACAAATAAACAAACAAGCAAGCAATGAGTCAATAAGAATTAAGATATTAAAATTCTCAATTATCCATTTTTTTACTTCACACTAATCATACCACGTTAAGAGTCTACTTAACAAGAAAAGTATAATCGGCTCACAAGCATATAGTACTTATCATGGAAGCAGACAGCACAATTTAGGGTTTGGCATTTGTAATTTAACACTAAATTAGCTGTGCTGAAATTCAAGAAACAGTTATCCATTTGGCTTCAGATTTACTAACAGGAAATGAAAGAGAAACCTGAGAAGTCAGGGGAGCTGGGTGAGTCTCAGGAGACAGGAGAAAGGCATTTGGAAGCTTTCTGGCCGCTCGGACCTTGGGCTGCTGCTTTTCTCCTTCTACACTCACTGCCATCTCATCCAGTCTCAAGGTTTCAGACACCATCCATACTGACACCCCCCAATTTATTCTCCAGAACAGGTTTTTCCCCTAAACTCCACACCTGTATATCCAACTGCTACAACCACATCCCACTTCAGTATCTGATGAGACCTTAACTTTCTTCCCCTCCTAGAGTCATGCCCATCTCAGATAAAGGCAACTCCACCATCCAGTTAGGACACCCTCGGAGCCATCCTTGACTCCTTGCTTTCTCTCACAGCCATATTCAATCCATCCACCTATGCTCTTAGTCCTATCGTCAAAATATATCAGAAATGTGAGCACGTCCAACTCATCTAAACCACCGTCCTCTTTTGTCTGTATCATAGCAGCTTCCTGCTTTGATCCTTGCCCCTCACAGTCTACATTCGACATGGCAGCCAGAGGGCGCCAGGTGACATGTTAAGTCATAGCACAAAAATCCTCTGCCCCAAATTCTCCAATGGTTTTCCACCTCGATCAAAGTATATAAAAGCCCAAGTCCTAATGATGACCTAAAAGGTCCTTTAAACTCTCGCCCCGTTACCTGTCTGCCCTCAGTTCCTGTATCACCCTCCCCACCCAGTCCAGCCGCCAGCAATGCTGGTTTCCCGGCCGTTCCTTCCTCACACCTGGCTGGAGTTCACCTTAGGCCTTAACACTCAATTCCTCCTGACTAGAACATTCCTTCCCTGGGGATCTGCAATCTGTGCCCTCATCTCCTTGCAGGTTTTGACTGAAATGTCGCTTTGAGTAAGGCTTTCTCCCACCATTCTATTTAAAATTGTACCCCCCCCCATCGTTCCCTTACCCTCTCCCCTGGTTAATATTTCTTTATAGCACTTCTCATTTTCTAATATAATTAATATCTTAACTTTGTTAAGCATCTCTCTTCTCCACTAGACTGTGAGCTCCATGAAGGCAAGGTTTTTTTTTTTTTTTAAGCGTTGCTCACTGCTGTATCCTCAGCTCCTAGAATGGTGTCTGACACACAGCAGATGCTCAGTAAATACTTGCTGAATGAGTGAAACTCTTCATCAGATCTCCCAAATATGCACAGGGATTATGGGAAGTAGGAGGGAGACAATCAATGATTAACTTATTGGCCTGGCTTCATAAATAAAGGACTCTCCAATCTTCAGGGAGTAAGAGAAAATGAGCAGACCTAGGTTTTACTAGCTTTTTAACCTTTGAGCTGTAAAGTATACCAATCTAGAAAATCACATGAAACAAACGAATAGCCTAATGAATTATTATAAGGGAAACACCCTTGTATCCACCACTTAGGCCAGGAAATAGAACTCTGCAGAAAACCCAGAAGCTCCCCATGGGCCCTCTCCTCCCCCCGTGACAATGATCACAACCACACCTCAATGGTCATCACTACCTTGCTTTCCTCTAGAGTTTGCAAATGTGTATCCCTAAACACTCCAGACTAGTCTGTTCACATGCTTTTAAGTCTCTTAATTCACAGGATCCCCCTTCATCTTTTTTCCCCTTGTATTTTATTTGTTGAAGAAACCTGGTTGTTTGACCTGTACTTTCCCATAGTCTGGAATTTGTTGACTGCATCCACATGGTGTAGCATAACATGTTCTTCTGTCTTCTAAATTCCTGTAAATTGGACGTAGAGGCTTGATCAGATTCAGATTCCATTTACTTGGCAAGACGACTTCATAGGCGGTAGTGAGTTCCACAAGGAGGCAATCATGCCTTGGTTGTCTCTTTCTGTGATGTCAGCAGCCATTGCTACTCAAAGGCCCAGGTCTGTTAATTCATTAGAGGCCATGAAGTGGTGATGTTCTAATGCAGCCATCCCTTTTAATTATTAGCTGGAATACTTCTATAAAGAATAATTTCCCCTCACCTACTATTTGGTCCCCCAGTGGCATAGTATGTAGGAAAAGGCAGGATAAATATTCACTTCTTTCCCTTTATCGTTTTCCAAAATAATAATTTGGGTTGTTATTATCCTCCAAAGGTGACCAATTAGTTGTTGTTAAGTATTATTATGAACTCATGGAGCTAAACATATTTGCTGTATTTCCACCCATTCTAGTTACTGTCCACACTGATGCTCAAATCGCTACATCTTTGGCCAAAGGAAGCCTCTTCACGTTGGCCCCTGAATACTTCTGACATGAAATATTGCTACTTTTCTCGCTACCTGGTTCTAGGCTTCCCAGATGCTTCCAGGGTCATCTTTTACATTTCCTGCTCTGGACCTAGAATCAGGCGTTTCTCCAAACACCCTGGCTGCTTTTGATGGGGAGTAGTATGAAGACCACAATCTGAGTGCTAGGGATGATCATTTCTACTAGGTTGGTTATTGTTTCTAGACCTTTTCAGTGGGCAGATACGAAGTCTAGTGTATAAGGGTGTGTACCCACACACACACACATATACCTACACGTATTTAAACATAAAATATCTCATGAATTCATACTGACACATCTAATTCAAATTCAGAACTATACAGTTTTTACCTTCTTCTGTTTTGTGTCTATATCCTTTTTTCCTCCAGGAGAATCCTGCTTCTTCAGGACACCAGTGATGAGCTAGAATACCACATCATCACTCATTGCTTTATTCTACCTCGCTCTCTTCTATACACACACACACACCAGCCTCAGAATAACAAGACCAATATTCTTATCACCTTGATGATTCCTGAAAACACCTAAATATTTTGTTCACGATCTCCCCCGTCCTCTGCTCATTTCTTCTGGACAGCTGTGTTGTATCTACACTGTCAGGGCTTACAGCCATCACATACAATACTTTTTCCCCTATCACCTGTCACTTGGATTTAATTCTACAAGTAAATATGTATTTAATGTTCACCACTAGTTCTTGCATCAGGGTCTCTCTAGTTATTTTGGTTGTCTGAAGCTCATTTTCTAGCATATTTTTCAGGTAGGGCTAAGAAGTCCCTGAGTTCTTTCAAGTGGATGAGTTTTTCCACAGCCCTTACACTTGGAAGTCAGTTTGGCTGGATATAAAAATACTTGGCTGACATTTTCCATCCTTGGGTATCTTAAATGTGTTACTCTTTTTTTTCTCTGGCAGAGAGTACTGCTGTTGAAAAGTTTAATGATTTCTGATTTGTTCTCCCTTATAAGTGGCTTTGTCTTTTTTGCCTGGATCCTCAAAGGACTTTTCTGTCTTTAAAATCTAGTAGTTTTACTGAAATATGTCTCAGTGCTGGTCATTCTGGGTCAATATTCCCAGATATAGTGTATGCCCTTTTAATATGTTGCTTCAAATCTTTATTTGTAGGATGTACTCTTCTTTTAAGACCACATAGAACACCATAAATGTAAACTGTTTTTAAATACCCAGGGACAGGTGCCTTAGCACCAACTACCCTTCTTCCTTCCTATGCTTTCCATATCCAAACAACAAGCATTTGCCAGGAATGAATACAAAGAGGGTCCTTCATGAAAACCGTCATCCCCAAACACTTACAAACATGAGAGTATTCCTTATTATTAAAAAACAACCCCGTTTTAGGTTCAAAATACTTGTCAGGCCAAAGGGTAATGTACTTATGATAATTTCTAAGACGACTATAACGATACACACTTTTAGTGGCTGTGCATATTTAGTCTCTATTTTTTTTTTTACCAATCTGATAAGGAAAAATGCAATATTTCATTGTTATTTAACATTTCTTCGAAGAGTGAACTTAAAAGTCTTTTTACTTGACTGCCAGCCACTTGGACTTGCTCTTCTGAGAATGCTGTCCTCTTATCCTTTGTACATTTTTCAATTTCTTTTTAGAAATTTTAAGGATTCTATTGACTTTGTTTATGGTTTCTTTGGTCATACAAGTCTATTTGTTTAATTGCAAAATCATTTGTCGTTATTTTTTTTATTGCTTTTGCATTACCAGTCTTGGTTAAGGAGGTATCCCCAGATTGTACATGAAGTCTCCTATTTTCTTGAAGGATTTTCATTGTGACAGTTTTAAATTTTAGGTTGTTTAATCTCTTGGAATTTAATTTTTGTATATGATACAAGTTTTACTTTCTTCCAGATGGATATTCAGTTATATCCAATACCATTCATTAAATAACCCATCTTCTCTCCTCTGAGTTTAAATATATTAAATTATCTGTTATGCTGAGACATGAATTTGAATTATCCTTTGCCACTGATGTAGCTATCTATTTTTATTCAAATATTGTATTGTTTGATAACAGGTAGTGTCATAATATGTTCTAATATCTAGTGATGCAAGTTTCCCATTGTGATTATTTAAAAATTGTTTTTTCTGGCTCCTGTGAATTTACTATTCTGTATATGTTTTATGACAATACTATCCATTCAAAACACACAGAACTCTCCCCTCCCAAAACTCTTGTTGGATCCTAACTGGAAAAGCACTAAGTTTATGTATTAATTTTGGAAGAATCAACATTTTCATGATGGTAAGTCTTCTTATTCAAGGACATGTTATCTCTTATGCTTTTCAAACAACATTCTATAGTCTGACCTGGGAAACCCATCCCCAGGAATCTAATACTCAGAAATGAAAGCACTAGGAACACCACCCTCCCTAGTAACAAAATGGAGAAGAAAGTGGTCACCCATTAATGGGGGATGATTAAATAAGTTATGGTATACACTACAAAACAGTATGCAGCCATTAACAAAAGTGAATTTGATTTTTACCGTTGATTAGGATAGATTTCCACGGGGCAATGTTGAATGAGGAAAAAAAGATATTGAAAAGTACCTATTATTTGATCTCAGTTTTGTAAAGTGACGATCCCCCTCCATCCGCATGTATATCATATTAGCATGGAAGCAAACAACCTAGGTTGTCATCATAAATTACGGGAGTGGGGGCTGGGAAGGGCAGTGCAAACGGAGGGAGAAGGAAGGAAAATAACAACATAAATAAGAAAAAAAATAAAAGTCTGCACTAAACATCAAACCAAACCCAAAACAACCAATAAACTGAGTATGTATAATATTTATGTATCTAAAAGTTTATGTGTATGTATGTAAAAAAGCCAGGTCGACTTTTATTTTTAAGGCTGCACAATCCTGACTATTAGATCCCACTTCAATTCATTTATAGATAAACCAAAATAGAAACAGAAAAATGACCTCTGCATCAGAACTCATCCAAGGCCTAGAATAGTGACACATCTTACCTCTCCCCACAGCTGTTCCACTGATAGATATTTCTCTCTCCTAAACCCCCTTGAAAACAACAAGAAAAATGTCTTGCTCCCTGTTTGTGAGACATTTCACAATAATCTCTCTTAAGGAATATGTTAAACTAGCACTCTTATCTTCCATCACTAGTAAAGTTTCTAGAACTTTTAGAGCAGAAAATCTTTTTCGCAGGTTAAGCTTAACTTTTTCCAGATAAGCTGGAAGCCAAGTCATCTTTCAGGTAAACTGGAAATTAACCTTCACAGCAGAAAATATAAGGCATAAAAAAATTTAAGCAACAACCAAGTGAGAATGGATTCTTCTTAATCAGGAGAGAAAAAAGGCTCAACCAAATATCTATAATGTTCATCGCCAAAGTAAGATTACTGCTTACCAGAATTCAGAAATTGTAAAAAAAAAAAAAAAAAAAAATTATCCATTACATTAAGACATATGTAAGAAATTTTTTAAATTTTTTAAATTCAACTCATGACAGGCAAATTTGGTGGTAGTAGATGAAGAGATGACAACAAAGAAAAGATAATCTGTACTACCCAAATGATATACAGATACAAGTACCCAGAGCACAGTATTTGACCCATAGGAGGACTAAATATTAATTCTCCCAAAAGGATTTTTGCACCATTTCTTTAAACATCAATTGTCTTGGTGTATTTACCTTATATACACGGAATTTTTCAAAAATATAACTATGGCAACATGAATGTAACATGAACTATTTGGAAATACATGGACCACAGTTCAGTCACATACAAATTACAGCAATTAATTCTGGGGTTATTATTAAAACACACAAACAAACTAACAAAATCCCTGATAAATCTACAGCTTACCTTCCTTCCATATTTAGGATACACACCAGTTCATCCTCAAAAAATATCTCTGGTCCCTCAAGATTCTCAATGTCACTAAAACCGTTACAAGGGACCTATGAAGAAGAGACACAAAGAGGCCTCAGTAACGAGTAAGAATGTTGTTGTCACTCTCACACACAAATCTGAGTTGCAAACAAAGCTGCTCATTTCTATGGAAGTGGTTAACACCTCTCCCACACTACCTTGCACCACCCACCCACTAGAGGTGCAAAGGAACATGTGGAGTAACAATCATTTGTTCAGATCATAACTGTTAGCTGTAAATGAATTATATCTTCAAAGACTGGAATTTCTGAAAGCGATAACTTACATCGGAAATGAGAAGAAAAATAGCTCTGAAATGAGGACTAGAAATACAAAAATCTCCTAATTCACAACAACTATTCTGTGCAGTCTACGTTGTATTCAACTAGGAGTGTAGGGCCAGGGAGAGAAGTCCAGTGCTTTGGGCAACTCTTAACCGACTGGGCATGTTTCTCCTCTGTAAATTGAGGTGGTGGTACCAATGAGTTTTAAGTTCCCCTTGGTTTAAAATTCTATTACTTCTCCCACTTTTCTTTTTGAAAGTAGCCAGGAAATTTCTTGTCAACCTGTGTGCATGTTGAGAACACAGGAATACAAGGGTCCTGAGCCAAAGTAATCATCCACCCACAGATCAATCCTAAGTATACTCCTGTTATGTTCAAAGTCCTTGACACGCTTCTAATCAAGCAGAGGTACAGGGAAAGAGGGAGCTGGGGAAAAAACACAACAATGCATTATTATTAGACAAAGGCACAGGCTGTTAAGTATGCATACAAAACCAGCTGGACTGTAAGTAGAGACAGCAAACTAGCAGCCCATGTCCAAGTGCATTAAACACATCCAGCACCCACATATATGTATGTGCAAACACATGGAAACCAGAATGGAATACCTGTGATGATGAATGCTCTTAGCCAGCGTATGGCTTATCCAAAGTAGGACATAAATTCTGACCATTCTAACATGAACAAACATCTATAGAAATGAATTACACTAGGAAATAGTTCGTTTTATTCTCTATAGGGGAACAAGTTCAAATTTGTCCAAAGTTCAAATTTTCCCTTTCAAAACTTGAAAAGCCTTGAAAACATTTCAAAACGTATGAACTCCATTAAGCAATAGTAATTAAAATCAGAAATAGGAATTAATCTTTAGTAAACCAGGATAGTAAAATAAATCAGACTGGCTCCATTTCTAGACCTCTGATCAGAAATAAACTTAAAATATTAGCGTGGACTATTTTCCAGAATTTACAAAAAGTTAAGAATCAGGAGCCGATACAGAAACTTCTGTGAGAGATTCTGTGGAAGGGAAACCAACCAACCAACCCATGCACTTCAGCAATATTAAAAAACAAACAAAATAACTTTCCAGGGATAATGAATACAAGACGATTTAATTGAGGGAGTAATAATTCTTGATTTACAGGGATGTCTTGATTTTAGACATGTCTTAATCCTCTGTTACCTTAACAAATAATGCAGTTCACTACTGGTTAGAACCTGCAAAGCCAGAGAGAAGAACCATATTAATTTTGGCAACGCTTCTGGAAAATAACTGGGTGAAATCTGTATACCCCCAATCGTGTGGAGGTTGCAAAATACACGTTCAACCCAATTAAGGAGAAACAATGCTGATCACTGCGCCGCGGGTCCCTCCTTCCCTCTCCCTCCCCCTCTCCCCCCATTCTCTCTGGCTTTAGAAAAGTAAAGCTGGCAGGGACAAATGGCTTCACGTTGCTGGATAGCAGGAAAAGGACACAATGACTCTTGCAGCCATCTAAGTGAGGAAGGGATTGTGAGAGCACTGAAAAGGGAGATAGCAAAAAGAGCTGGATGAGCTCATGCCTACAGACCCAGACGCAGACACCACTACCATGCAAATGCTTAGAGCTCCATCAACAGATCCTTACGTGCTCTGAAAAGAACCTCTTTGAGAAGGAGGCTACAATCTTCCGGGCCTCTAACCCAGCTTTTTGCCGAACTTTATACTCCTCCAACCAATTGACGTAGTCGGTGGGGCTGTAGTGTTTCATAAGGGAAGGCCACCTACAAGGAGAGAAACACCCCCTCAGCTTAAGAGAGCCTCAAAGGCAGACAAACACGAATCAAAGGCAGCCTTGGAAAACAGGGAAAGCGGTTGGGTTTAGGGGTCAGAGGGGCCCTGGCGATGGACCTAGTTCAAATCTCCACCCGGCACGCACGCACTCGCTTACGGCGTGACCTTGGCGTAGCAGTATGAATACTGTGTTTCCACTCCCCATTTATAAAATGCGGACGGTGGGAGCAACAACAATCATAGTGATGACAATCACAGTCAACATTAATTGCGCGCCTCCGAAGAGCCGGGCCCTGTGTAAATGCTCCCTATACATCAGCTCATCTAATCACCACAGTAAAAGGTAGGTCTAATCAACACCGTTTAAAGTCGATGAATGAGGCTCAAAAAAGGGAAGTCGCTACCCCCAAGGTCGCACGGCGAGTACGCCAGGGCCAGATTGTATCCCGGGTCCCACACCGAAATCTGTGCTCTCAGCCAACAGCCAGGGGAGGATGCGCCCGCTTCCTCAAAGGGCTGTAAGCAGCACTGCATCACCCAGTCCGTGTAAACATTCTAGCACAGAGTCGGGCACAAAAGAAGCGCGCATGATGGATTAGCCGTGATACCACGGTCGTCATCCTTTATGGAGGGGCCGGCTGCTGGGCGCTTCCCAATGCGCAATCTGGACACCGGCGGGTCCGCCTGGCGTGGACCGAGGGGCCGGCGGCCTGGAGGCCTTTGTCTGTCTGTCCGCGGGAAGGGGTCCGGGGGTGGGATGCGGGGGTGGGGTCCGCGCGCGGGCAGGGAGGTGGCGGCTCCGGGCGGCCAGGCCCGGGCCCCGGGGGGCGCAGAGAGGGGGCGCGGGAGGCATGGGCGGCGGGCTCACCTCACCCGGAACTGCTCCTTCCACACCTTCCCGCTACTCTGGCACAGCTCGCGCAGCCGCCGGCAGGTGCTGGAGACGCGGCCGATGTCGGCGGCCGTCAGCGAGCCGCTGCACAGGATGTACTCCAGCACCTCGCCGGGCAGGTTGACGAGGCAGCTGAGGCCCGCTGCCTCAGGCGCGGCCTCCTCCGCCAGCGCCGGCACCACTTCCATCGCGCTGTCGACCGCTGCCGCCGCCATCTTGTCCGCGTACCTGGGGGCGCCGCGCGCGCGCGCGCGCGCCAGGGCGCCCCGCTTCGCCCCGCCCACCCGCCTTGAGGGGTGGGCGCCACGGTCGCCCCACCCACGCCCGTGGCCACACCCCCTCGGCCCCAGCTGCTCTCGAAGGGCTGAGCTGTGGCCAAGGAAAGGAAATGCGTTTTGGAAAATAACAGCGCGGTGGGGCCTGGAAGCTGTGAATGGACAATAATAGTGGCATCCATGTTTATTATGTGTGCGGAGCGTTTCCTGTCAATGAGCTCGTCGGCCCTTACAAATAACCCTATGAACTGTTCTTCTCCCCAAGTTACAGATGGGGAAACTGAGGTTCAGGGAGATAGATGGACTTGTTGGGAGTCCCTTGTCCTAGATTCTAATCCAGATCCGCTTGACTCTGCTTGACTGTATGCTAAACAGTAATATGCTGTAATAATAACAAACTTAATATTCATGAGCGGGTGCCCTGCCAAACACTCTAAATCCGTTCTTCAAGGACGCCTCATTTGAGCCCTCTGCCATAGGTACCACATTTTATATACGTTCTACAGATAAGGAAAACCTGGCTCATAAAGGTGGGAGTCACTAGTTGAAAGTCACAGAGACAAAAAGTGGTCGAACCTGGATTTGAATCCTCCAAACAGGAGTTCCCATTCACCTGTGGGTGGGCACTCTCTTACTTCCGTGCCTGCACCTATTTATTTATTTTTCCAACTCAGTTTAGTTTCGTGACAGGCCCTGGGCTGTGTGCCTTGGGGATACAGAGGTGAATAAGACAGTGTCCTTGCCTCCCAGGAGCTCAAAGTCCTCCCCCGCCTCTCTCCCATCCCCACCCCCTGTAATTTACCTTGTCCCCTCCCAAAGTTTCCGGCCTTGGAAAGGGCCAACCATCCCTCCCTTCCTGCAAAACTGGAACCTGCTGCCATCCTTGCGACCTCTCTTTTCCTCACCCTCTGTATCCCAATGCCCCATAGAGGATAACATATCCAAGCCTCCATTTCCACATCTATAAAATGGGGATAACAATAGATCTTCCTGTTAAATGAAACAATACATATACATCAGGTCCTGTTGCTGCATAAGAAATAAACCCAAAGCCTAGGAGCTGAAAACAACCTTGTTTTTGTGCTCTTGATTTTGTAGGTCGGGAAATGGGGAAGGGCTCAGCCGGGCAACTGTGAATTGGAATCAGGTGGTAGCTCCAGAGTCTCTGCTTTCAAGCACTGCATGCTTTCAAGATCCCACAGGGCCTGGAAAAAGTGTTGAGATCTTAAAGTGTGCTAGGAAACACTACCTGTATTCAAATGCCCAACAGAGGTTAAGTTCTCTGTGCCTCAGTTTCTTCAGAGAAACTTTTTTGTGGGAACAGGAAAGCAATTCTCTTCTCTAAAAGATCACTCCTAATATTTCTCAAATCTATCTCCTTCTCTGTCTCCTCAGCCACTGTCCCAGTCCATGTCTCCAGGGTGGTTCTTAACAGTTCAGGCCTGGCCCTGAGAATATGAATATCAGCCTTGGTGACACGCAGACCTCGGTAAGGTTTGCAGCCCGTTAAGTGGAAGGCAGACCCCCACAGCTGCACAGGTGGTTGGTAAGACATTCTTGTGAACGACTATGCATTTCTTTTCAATGACAAATTAAAATTAAACTCTCCTGCCGATCCAGAAAATCCTCTCCAAACCCTAGGAAAGGAGAACAGTTTTATTGTTGAACAAGCATTAAACTAGATGGTGATGCACATCGCAGGTAACCTGCTAATGAGATTACAAAGACAGAAAGAAATCCCACCCTTTTGTATACAGCCAAACATTTCATCATGTACATGCTTCTGAGATTAATGGTGGCTTGTAAATTACCATTCACTTAAAAAGTAAGAGGACCTGATCACACTTTGCCTAGTTTATTCTTTCCAAGTTCATCCTAAGGTCACCTGGCAAATGGGGTACACATTGTACTACCTGCCTTTGTCTCAAGGAATAATAAAATTGCTCATCTTTGTGATAAGCTGGTGGTTACAGCCTGAAATGGAGTGCTTAGACTCCCACATCGCAGGGAGAAAAGGACACTACCTTTCTTGATATTTACATTTCAAAGAGATGGTTCCCAGGCCCTTAAGAGAAACATTTCTGGGCTGTGACATTGGCAAGAGGCTTATTTAGCGTTTGAAAAGATTTGCAAAATGTACGGTAGACATACAGTGGAGTAGTATTCAGCCATAAAAAGGAGTGAGGCACTGACACGTGCAACAGCATGGATGAACCTTGAGAACATGATGCTAAGTACAAGAAGCCTCACACAAAAGGGCAAATATTGTATGAGCCCACTTCTGTGAAACATCTAGAATAGGCAAATTCATAGAGACAGAATGTAGATTAGAGGTTTACCAGGGGCTGGGAGGGAGGAGGGAATGGGGGGTTATTGCTGAATGGGTACAGAGTTTCTGTTTAGGGTGATGAAAAAGTTCTGGAAAGAGATAGTGGTGACAGTTACACAAGAGGAATGCCCTTAATGCCACTGAATTGTATACTTAAAAATATTTAAATTGTGGGGCTTCCCTGGTGGTGCAGTGGTTAAGAGTCTGCCTGCCGATGCAGGGGACACGGCTTTGAGCCCTGGTCCGGGAAGATCCCACATGCCACAGAGCAACTAAGCCCATGCACCACAACTACTGAGCCTGCGCTCTAGAGCCCGTGAGCCACAACTACTGAGCCCATGTGCCGCAACTACGGAAGCCCAGGCGCCTACAGCCCATGCTCCACAAGAGAAGCCACCGCAATGAGAAGCCCGCGCACTGCAACGAAGAGTAGCTCCCGCTCTCCGCAACTAGAGAAAGCCCATGCACTGCAACGAACACCCAACACAGCCAAAAAAAAAAAAAAAAAAAATTTAAATCGTAAATTTCCTGTTATGTATAGTTTACCATAGTAAAAAAATAAAAATAGCACCCACAGAAAAGATTTACATCTGTATCAAAGAGACAGAGGAAAGATTTACGCATACAGAATTTGTCAAGGAAATACTCTAAGAAAGGAAGGAGGGAATGTGTCTCTTTCCATTTTGGCAACAGGGAAAATTCTAAGTTTTTAATGTATCCTTTCGCTGAACTGCTGACTGTATTTAACACAGAGCTCATCCCCGCTACCCCAGTTCCTGTTTAAAATGCCCTAGCAAAAGCCCAAATCCTTGACTCCCCAGAGTTCCTCCTGGGTGCCCTCTCCCTGCTGTAGCAAAAGAATAACCCTATCTTTGTGGACCATCGGTGTATTTCTGGTTATCTTTGGCTGGAGGACTTCGACGTTCCTCTCCCACGAGATCGCCACAGTCCAACTAGAGAGACCATTTCAATCCCCCTCAACATCTTCTATGGCTTTCCTCGTTCTCGAAATAAACAAACACATCCTTGCTCTTCTGATACAGCCCCTAGACTCTCCCTCCCACCTGCTAATCCAGGGCCACTTTCCTGGAGTGTCTGCAGCTCCTACTCATCCTTTAGGTCTAACTCAAGATCTTGCCTGCAGAAATACATGTCTGCTGACCACAGACTAAGTCTGCTTCTGTCTCTGCCCTGGCAGAACCCCTTTTATTCATTCAGTACACACTCCCAAACTGTCATAATACACACCTTGGTGTGATTATCAGATTCACCCACCAGCACGGGCCAATTTTTCGGGGTGTGGACAAAGAATGTTGCCTCCCATTTCAGTAAACAAAGAATGCTGGAGCCATCAAACCATCAGCTGCCCCCGATGGTGCACCCTGAGGGGGATTCAGGATGGAGAAAAACAGGGTACTGGCCCTACATAGTTAAGATGCCTATCAAAGGAATGATTTTAATAAGCCCAGACCCTTGCATATTTTCATATATAGAAAAGCACTAAAATCATTAACTTGAGATGTCTGTTTTTTTGTGATTAGCAGTAATCTTTTGATGTTCAACTACATGTTTTGTTTTTGTTTTTTCAGCAAGAACTCCTGTATATCCTGGTTCCTCCCTTTCCACTTTGGAACAGTTCCCCAGAGCTATCTGAGAGGCTGCCTTCCCAGGCCAGAGTCCTCAGTAAGGTCCCCGAATAAAACACGACTTGAAGCTTTTAGGTCGTGCTTCTTTTTACAGTCAGTAGGGGCCTGAAGCTTTACTGTTTGGAGGCCCTGTTTTATTTTATTTCTTTTGGCCATGTCCTGCAGCTTGCAGGGAACCGGGGATCAAACCTGGGCCCTCGGCAGTGAAAACTTGGAGTCCTAACAATTGGACCGCCAGGGAATTCCCTGGAGGCCCTGTTTTAGAAAAGGAACACACAGGATGAACTTGTAAGTCAACAGGAGGGCGTTTATGTAGAATGAGGAAAGAAGGCGCCTTGGATGTGGGACCCAAAGTTTATCATTAATTCGATGATAAACACATTTCTTCCTATAAAAGGTAACCTCCGTAAAAGCAGGGCCTCTGTCCCATTTTGCTCAAATATTGACTGAAGGTACTGCTAGGATGTATGAGAAGGTTTTGTGCTAGCGTACAGACACAGCTCTGCCCGGTCACCCCTGGATGTGTGTGGCTTTTCCCCTCACCCGCCCAAGTCTTCTCAGTCACCTAATTGAGGAAGCCCTGCCTGGCCGCCTCATTTAAAACCCTCTGTCACTCTGCCCTGCTTCGTTTTTCTCTAAAATTTCTTATCACCATCTAACATACTCTTCAAGAAAACCACTTATGTCTCTCTTCTTCCAGTAGAATGTGAACTCTACTAGTTGTTCTCCAATGTCTACAAAAGAGCTTGACACATACTAGGTTCTCCTTATATTTCTAATGAATGAGTGAATTAATCCTGTGAGTGCAGAGCAATTGAGCTGGATGTATTTTGCATACGGGGTGGAAGTGAATCTTTGAGGGCCAGAGAGTAGGCTATGGTAGGCTGAATAATGGCTCCCACAGACGTTCACATTCTAATCGCTAGAACCTGTGAATAGGTTACTACGATGTGTGGGGTTTTTTCCCCCGACGTTGCCAAGCTATTC